CTATAGACTAGGGAACTTACTTGTGTAATGAATCAATAGACACATACAGAGTATATGAGGACTTGCTGGTTTAGATTTTGCACATATGGAATCCAGTCCAGAAGTTCACCTTTTTATTCCAAAGACACAAATAAACTTACACGAATCGCAATAGATTACACAGGCCATGTAATCATCTGCACTATATACCTTAATTAATTTCTAAGTTGAACACAACTCTGCATATTTTAAGGTCCAATACAGAAAAGCAATGTAGATTGGGAGACAGTAACGAGAATTCTGTGCACAGAATGAGGCTGAATGAACCCATAGGAAGAATGACAAGTCCATGATAACAATGGCAGTTTTTAATTTTTATATAGTTTCAATTAATCAAAATCATTTTGATGTATTTTTAAATTAAGAATCCACTTACAAAAATATTCCTCAATGTATAGTGTTATAAGAATATGTAATGTGCTTAATCACTGAAACAAATAGAAGAAAATAACTAGTCTAAGTCTTCATTATTCTTCCCAAAAAGGAAGTAAGGGATGAGATCTTGCATAGTATCTAGGAAGACACATATTTTTCCCTCCACTAGCTTCAGTACTGTTTTCAGTAATCTCAAAAGTAAGTGTACTTTTTTGCTTCTTCTAAAAATCTAAAAATTATTTAAAGGTGAGTTTCACAGATGCAAAGAGTGGCTTGCCTGTACTAACAGCTATATTTTAAAAAAGAAGAGCATCCTGAATTCTTTTTACTTTTCCTTTAAATTGTTTAAGTAGTAAGTACTCACAATTTTGCTAACTAGTAGACTATTATCACTTTCATTAAAAGGAAAAATAATTGTATTACTTTTAAAAATATGGAATTAAAATTAGGAAAAGAGCATTTGTTAATTTGCTTAAAGCTTGAGGATATGAACACATTGCTTTCTGCATTTTAAATGCTTTTTAAAAGTTATAGTGGAAAAGAAACTTTTTAAAAAATAAATTACTCCTGAGCTTAAATCTTTTGCAAAGTAAAGAATACTTGACTCAAATTCTTCTGGTAGATGGAATTTTTAAAAATATCTCCAGTGAGCAATTATTATCTGTGGATATATCCTCAGAGAAGAATTTTTTGGAAATTTTGGGATTCCCTTAATGGTGAATTTTCCAAGAAGTATAAACAGCTTTAAGATGATTTCTGTAAAGGAGATAAATCATAAAGGTAGCTTAGTTTGACAAAACCCAGCATGTGAACCTTGATCACACTGCTTGAATGATTTTGGTTCTGTTGAGAGGAAGCCAGCCTGATGAATTCAATGTTTCCACTTTCCTTTTACTAGTCAGAGTATGGATGAATGTAGAAGAATTCATCACAACTACTGGAAAAGTGATGCAGAGCAAATTCCATGCTAATCCCACCTTGGGAGTGCTCGCTTTGTATATGGAAAATTATATAAACAAATGCCTTTACATCATGAACATTTCTAAATTATATTTAACAAAACATTAAACTTATCAAGATAGAAAGCTAACAACCATCTTGAAATAAAAGTCAATGAATAACACCGAGCAGTCAATTGTATCTATCTTTATTTTTCAAATGCCAAAAGGAAAAGGAAACAGGAACCTTTGGAAAAATGGCTAATTCTAGAACTGAGGAAAGGGAAATATAAGATAAGCTTAGAGCATCTTGTAGCAGTAAAATAACAAAAAAATGGTTACAAGCTGTGCAAAAGGGACACAGGAATAAGCCTGAAAGAGCCCTCAAAGGTTCAACAAATTCATCAAAATTGAATAAAGTGCAACAAATAACAAATAGACAAATGATATATGCATATTCTCCCCTCCAACAGGTCAAACCTAACACTACTTCTCTTAAGTGTGGACTGGAGTCAATACTTCTCCAATAACCTCTAATCGATAGACTATGGAACAGGAAAATGGTAAGTTTACAGTGGAGAAACTAGGCAGATATTGCCTTGTAAAAAATGAAAATTAACATCATTGGTGATGTCATATGGACACATACATTCCTGATATGATATAATGAGAAGTGCGCTTCAGGCCGCTAATGTTTTTAGAAAACCCATAATTCTAGTCTAATAATGATGAAAATCTTGGACAAACCCAGCTTGAGGAGCATTAAATAGCATTCCTCACCAGTACTCCTTAAAACTCTTAAGGTAATGAAAAATAAGAAAGACTGATAAACAATCACAGATCAAAAGAGTCTAGAAGACATGATAACTAGATGCAAAAGGTTGTGGAATATTACTAAAAAACTGGTGAATAACCAGGCATGGAAGAGCATACTATAATCCCAGCTCTGTGGGAGGCAGAGATGGGAGGATCAGGACTTAAGTTCATTCTGGATAAAAAAAGAACTCTTATCTCAAAAAATAAGCCAGTGGGAAGAAAAGATAGGCATATCATCCCTGAGGCCAGCTCCAGGCAAATGCATTAAGAACTTATCTGAAAAATAACTAAAAGCAATAGGGGCTAGAGGTGTGGTTCAAGTGGCAGAGCACTTGCTTAGCAAGCATGAGGCCCTGAGTTCAATCTCTGATATCACACAAACACACACAAAAATGTGAAATGAGTAGTGTGTGGTTTAGTTAATAGTAATATGTAAATGTTGATTTCTTGATTTAAAAACTATATCATGGTAATGTAACATGTTAATAAGACAAAACACTAGTTGGCAAGTATACAGGGAGTTATTTTATCTTAACTTCTTCATAAATCTGAAATTTTCTAAAAGAAAAACATTCATTAAAAAGTAATTGTCATAGAGAACCCAAAAATAAGTGCTTTTATATGGTCAAATGACTTTCATAAAGGCATTTAGACCATTAATTTATTTGGGGAAAGGAGACTCAGTTCAATAAATGATGCTGAGAAAACCAAATATCTATATGGAAAAAATAAGACATGTGTAAGGTCAAGGTCCAAATCCTGAACATATACCATATGTAAATGTAACTCAAAATGTGTCAAAGGCCTAAATAAAAGGATTAAAATGATAAAACTCTTGGAAGACATAAGAGGAAAGCTTCACAAAATTGTATTTGGCAGTGACTTCTTAGATTTGACAATGCAAATGCAGGCAACAGAAGAAGAAACAAGTTAACTAGATTTCACAAAAATTTACAATAAAAAAAAACTTTTGCACATTCACTGATACTATCACTAGAGTTAAAAGGCAACCCACAGAAAGGGAGACAATCATATATTGGATAAAGGAGGCATATCCAGTATATGTAAGGAACTCCTACAACAACAATTAAAACAACCCAGGTAAATATGGACAGAACACCAGAGTACGCATTTCTCCAAAGAAGATACACAAATGGCAAAGAAGCACATGAAAGAATATTCAACATCACTAATTATTAGAGAAATACAAATCAAACTTATATGAGATACACTGCACACCCATTAGGATGACCAATATTAAAAAAAATATTTTTCAAGGATATGAAGCAACTAGAATCCTTGTCCATCACTAGTGGAAATATGAAGAGGTGTGGCCCTGTGGAAATAGTATGGTGACTCCTAGAAACATTGAACACAAAACTACCATATGGTTAAGAAAACTGCTTCTGAGTATATATCTAAAAGATAAAAACAGGAACTCAAACAGATGTTTATATATCCATGCTCATAGTACCATTATTTACAGTAGCCAAAAGGTAGAAGCAACCCAAATATACATTGACCAATGAATGGATAAAGAAAATATGATCTGCACATAAAATGGAACATTATTGAACCTTAAAATGGAAGGAAAGTCTAACATTATCTACAACAAGGATGAAACTTATATTAAACTCAGTGAAATGAACCATTATAAAATGATAAATATTGTATGATTGATTCCACTTATTATAAAGTACCTAAAATAGTCAAATTTATAGGCACAGAATAGATTGATAGTTGACAGGGGAGAAGGAATGAAAAGTTAAGTGTTTAATGAGTACAGAATTTCAACTGGAGAAGAAAATTTTCTGTAGAGATGGATAGTGATAATGAATGGATAATGAGTCACAGAACAGAACATGGCTAAATGATTTTATATATAATTTTCATTACTGTAACATGTTAACTTTGTTTTCTTGGTTTTTTGATTACTTATATTGTTGTGAATGTTTCTAGAGATAGGGATCAGGTTGCTGGACATAACAAAGCATAACAAAGGAGATAAGAAACTAGATTATAAAATTAGCCATTACTACAAAGTCAAACAGTATAAAACCAGGCAAATAAAAATTATTTAAATGTGTAAGAAAGCTAGAAAAAGCTACTTTAAGTTCATTAGGTTATTCAATTTGGGAGAATCTCTAGAGATTAGAATATCAGTCAATGTAACAAAAATAAAAGATGGTAAGTATCCTTTTTTTCCTCTGGTTATTTTTTATTAGCATATATTAGTTGTACATGGCAGGATTCATTATGACATTTACATATGTGTTTATAATGTGGCTTAATTAGATTCATCTCGTCCATTATTCACCCTCCCCCTCCTTAAAACAATTTCAATGTCCAGTTTTCATATAGGTACACAAAGTACATCCACCATATTTTCCCTCCTTCACCCCCTCCATTTACCTACCCCTTTCCCTGGTATCCTCCCCTGAACAAGACATTTTTACCTCCCTGTGCTTTATTTGGAGTATATATTGACGGTTAAAGAGGTTTTGACTTGATATTACACACATGTATATATCATGCTTTAATCAGATTAATTACCTCTATTACTTACTCTTTCTCTGTTGCTTTGCTCTATTACTCAACAGCTTTCAATGCATTTTGTCATACTTTCTTCATACACAGAAGCAACGTATTTCAATATTATTCAGTCTCTCCTCTCTTGTTCCCATAGTTCCTTAGACAGACCCACTATAACATTATCACATTCTCTCTCTCTCTCTCTCTCTCTCTCTCTATATATATATATATATGTATGTATATGTGTAAATATATATATGTATTTATGTATACATTTATCTTTTACGTCTAGCTTCCACACATGAGGGAAAATATTCGACCTTTGTCTTAAAAGAAAAAAAGATTTAAAAGATTCAAACAAAAATGGAAAAGCTTTTTAAAGTATACTTTCATACCACTAAGAGCCTTTTTAAAATGAATTATCTTTGTTGACACATGTACTTAAAATAAATCATATATGGAAATAATAATCTTGAAGTTAACATCTAGCAAAGTAGTAATATTTTTACTGCTTTCTTTTCTCCTGAGGATATTTTCTTATTCTCTTGATGTAATTTTCCTCATAATGCCCTCTCTTTCCCAAATTCCATCTTCTTCATTGTTTCCTCAATCAGTCAGGAACCAGGGAGATTTTGTCTGTCAGGTTGGCCAAAGGCAAGCCTTTAAACATGAAAACTAAAAGATTATTCACTCCTCATTTAACACATACTCATGAAAGGTCTACTTATGGAACTGTTGTTCTTCATATTGTATCCCAAATATTTTGTTTCTGATTTTATTTTGTCTTATAGTGTAAATATTCACTTTGATATTATTAGCCTTGTCTTTTTTTCTCTTTCTTTCCAACTGCAATGCCTTTGTTTAAAATTTTTCAGAATTCCTTTTAAGGTATTATCTCTTTATAATAACTTTTTATCTTGCATGCCAGTTCAGCACATACTCAGTTCTTGGTAAATATCTGTTGGAAGAATGAGAAGAGGTGAATCTTGATGGTACCTTCTCACCATCAATTGTATACAGAATGCTAGTTACTCTTTCCTAGGTTATAAAAACTTCAAATGTAACCAATTAACTACTCTCAAAATATTTATAAATGGTAAGTTTCAAAGTTCATTTGAAAACAAAGTCATATTTATACAAAAATATACTCTCACATTTGTCAAATTCATTAGGTTGCAAGTAACTTCTTTTAAAGCCCAAAAGCAATTACAATGTTTGAAATACACTGCTTGCATTTGATTACCAAGTTATCAATTAATGCCTAAAACATTCCACATTCAACATTGTTTAAGTTTCACAGAAGTCTAGCAAAGGAAAAGTAAGAAGTATACATCTGGTTCAGTCTCTGAGTTATAAATTTACAATTAAAATTTGACCACGCTTTAGATATGTACAAGCTTAATTGACCATGTAATTCTGAAACATGCTGTAAGGATTCTATGATAGAAAACGCATGGTTATAGGTACATACCTAAATAATGACAATAATACACATCAAATTCTACTCTTATTCAAATTTTGTTGAAAAAAAAAAGGATTACCCTTGACTCAGAGACATAATTTTTTAAAATATACCATGTGTTTTTCTTTTATAGCACATGTACAAAGCAGCCTTGATGAGAATCAGAGTATTGTTTGTTTTCTTCATTACTCTTTCCCTTATCTGTTGTTCATTCTAGGAGAGATAACCCTGACCTTTTGGGAGGTCAAAGACCATGTTAGTAGAAACCAGGGTCTGAAGAGTCCAACAAATGTAAGTGGCTGCCAAAGGGCATGAACTAGAATTCACATCATTCTGCAATGGAAACAACAGAAACTATCTCATTTTTGTCTCATAGTATCAAATACTTGCACTGGTGGTGTGGCTCAAGTAGTAGAGCTCCTGCCTACCAAGCACAAGGCCTCGAGTTCAAACTCCAGTACCTCTAAAAACAATCAAATACTTAAAAGATATCAATGCTCCTCTAGCTTGATGAATATAAGGTGAAAGGAAATAAAGAATGAAGTCTTTACTCATTTATTTTGACCCAACAGCATAGTATTTTGGCATCACAAGCCAAAAACAATAACTGTTTCTCTTTTTAATGAAAGTGGTAATAATGTGTACTAGGTAGCAGACTTACCAGTCTATAGAATTCTAAGAGAGGTCTAGGGCTGAGTGTCCAATATAGAATTTCAAAGCTATCTTTCTTTGAAAAACTCAATTTCTGATTCAGATACATTCAGGAGATTTTAGTCTAGTCCCATTTGATTATTTAAAATCACTGCAGACTATTAGATAATTTTATTTAAGATCTGACTTGGTATTCCTCATTTGCTTTCTCCTTGTCTTCAATTTTTCAACCCATTATTTTAATTTTAAATGAAACAATTTTGCTTGCTGATGAGAATTTGTTTGACCTGGTTTCTTGCATAGTGTCCTCTTTCAACCAGTCTTTTATTCCAGCTCTGCTTGGCTTTGTTTCTTCTTCTCCCTACACTACTTTTGTATATTATCCTACAGACTGCAGATAAACACATTATCAAAGCCATTCAGCCATGTCATCAGTTCTCTAAAAACTCACATCAAACATGCTTGTAAGAAAAAGTAAAGAAACAAAAATATAAAATTATCACAATATTCAACACTGCTTTCATTGCTTGTTCTTAGAATATAATTAGACATCAGAAATCATTTGGGGGTAGAATTAGTTCAAAACACTATTGGTACTCACCTTATTACATGCAATTCTGTTAGGGACTTCAGTAGAAACAAAAGCACATGATCCCTGGCTGCAAGAATAATTGAACTACAAATCATGAATAAAATCTTTAATGCTTTTAAAATTCCTTTAAATTTTAGTAAATTTGATACACTACCTACCAAAAGCTAAGATTTATGAAGAATATGTAGTAGCCATTTCATTCTTATGTTTTAACACATCAAACTCCTAAACTCATCTTCACATCTTTCTTCCTCACCAGAGCCTTTACTTCTTATACATTTGTCCACTTATATGCTCCTTAAAATTTCCAACTGCTTCTCCACTCCTACAAAGATCTCTTATCATCTTTACAAAATGCACATGCATACACACACACACACACACACACAAACCAGGCAGATTGGTGGTATTACACATTTACGCTTTCCAATATGAAGCATTTTAGCATCCTAATTCTACAACCACTTTACATGTTGCTAATTGAATCCCTTTCCAACCTCTAGAGTAGCTATTCAAAACTGTCACCAGTCTCACCCATATCCTTGGCCCCCAACTCCTCTCTTACAGACTGTTAAGGATAAACTCCTCTACTCAGTATCTCCTGTCTCTTCACAAGCCCCTCCCACCCTCAAGCATACATCTGCAAATTTACCTGTACTGGCACTCTCCTTTCTTCCTTTTCTCAGATCTAAGATCAGTCCAGTATAAATTATTTCATTGTCCCTCAGCATTGCTCTACATAATTTTATTTTTCGGATCAGCTTTTACTTATACTCTTCAGAACAGTTCTTTAAAACATTTAGTAATTTTGTTTCCACTCTACTCACAACTATATGTCCCCCTTCACCTCAGTCAACTGCTCAGTTAACTCAGACTTCATTGAGAAAATGGCAATATTTTGAAATGAAATTCATTTTCCAAATGTGTTTCCGCATATGTACAAACACTTATAAACGCACTTATTTTGGTGCCCTACTTTAATCAACTTTTTAGTCTCAGAGGGAAAAATGCAGTTCCTACCCAGTAAGAGTCATCCCTCTCCTAGAATACATCCACATTCCCTGCTTCCTTGTAAAGATTCATCTTTGTCTTGTGTGTTCAAATGCTCCCTCTCTGCTGTCTCCTTTCCTGTCACCTAAAATATTTTCAGATAGCCCATCTGCATCACCACTTTAACAAAAATAACCTCCAAATTCTCACATTGATTCTAAATCCATTTCAAATAACTAACATATTCCTTCTCATTTTCTTGGCAAATTTCTGCAACAGGTTTTTAGAAATCTTTCATGCTTCTCTTTTTTCAATCTATTATGCTTTGACTTTCACTCCATAACTTGATAGCTCCTAATATCACTAAAATTAGTAATACAATAGTCCCCCCTTTATTCATGGTTTAGCTTTTCAAGGTTTCAACCACCTGCGTTCAGCTATGATACAAAAATATTACATGAGAAATTCTAGAAACAAACAATTCTTGAGTTTTTAAGTGGCATATCTTTTTGAGTAACATGATGAAATATCACACAGCTCACCTTCATTTGGCCTGGGATGTGAATCATCATTGCTTCATCCAGAGTATCCACACTCCATCAATTCTGGATGGTTGTCACATAGTTATGATCTTAACAGATCAGCTGTCATGCTGTCACAGTGCTTATCTGCAAGTAACCCTTATTCATGGCTTTATAAATCTCCCAAGGCACAAAAGTAGTGATGGTGGCAATTTGGATATGACAAAGAAAAGCTATAGCATGCTTCCTTTAAGTGAATAGGTGAAAATTTTTAAATCAATGAAAAAGGGAAAAATTATATGTTGAGGTTACTAATGTCTACGGTAAGTTGTGTTATTAATCTATTACTATTACAGCAGGAAGTGAAAATAGGAAGATCTCAGTACAGACTGGCCTGGGCAAAAAGCAAGACTCTTTCTTCAAAATAACCAAAGCAAAAAGGGTTAGAGGCATAGCTTAAGTGGGTGAGTGCCTGCATAGCAAGCATGAAGCACTGAGTTTAAACCCTATACCACACACACACACAAAAAAAAACTTACATATACACCTCTCATAGGAGGCAGCCACTCTATGCCAAGCATTTATTTAAGAGATGTGAAAGTAAATATTCCTAAAAAGGCCTATGCACACATGCTCGTAATAGCCTTATTTGTAATAGCGCCAAACTGTCACAGTCTTAATGTCTGTTAACAGGTGAATGATGCTGACAGATAAGCAAATTGTGGTAGATCCATTCAATAAAATACTATTTAATCATAAAAAGAAATTAACTATACATAAACATAAAATACAATGAATTTCAAAGTAATTAGGCTAAATGAAAAAATTCAGATCCAAAAGGTTTAGTTCTGTTTATTTAAAATTCTAGAAAATGTAAACTAATTTATAGCGACAGAAATCCAATTGGTAGAGGAACAGGGAGGTAGGAAGAATTGTACAGGAGAGGGAGCCATACTAGGGCAGGGGAACACTTCTGGGACTGATGGATATATTTATTATTTTGATGGTGCTGATGGTTTTATAGGTATATACACTTGTCAAAACTTACTAAATTACAGTTTATTAAATATCAATGATACCCCAATAAAACCCTTAAAAAGTGAAAAAAAATCTATTACTATGTCTAATTTATAAGCTAAACTTCATCATATGGATGTAAGTATAGGAAAAATACCTGTGGTTTCAGGTATTCACTGGAGATGTGGAACTCATTCTCCCACAAATAAGGGGTGATGACTAACCTTCCTCTTTTTCTTCTTCCTCCTCCTCCTCCTCTTCCTCGTTCTCCTCCTCCTCTTCCTCGTTCTCCTCCTCCTCCTTCTTCTTCTTGTCCTGGAAGTTGAACTCATGGATGTGTGCTTGCTAGGCAAGTGCTTCACCAGTTAAGCCACTCCCTCAGCCCAGCCCGGACAGTAATAACCTTCTAATTTCTACAGTGCCATCAACTGGCTCTCTTCTCATCAATTCTCCCTCCTCTCACTATCATTATTCATTTTCTTGATTCTTCCTCTAAGTCTTTGACTCTATTTTTCTTTTCTCCCTTATTTTTTCTACTTCTCGTTTGTCTGCCACTTAAATGCTAGAATAGTACAAGATTTGATCCTTGTTTTTACTCTATATTTCTCTGAGGGGCAATATATTCTGATACAGAGGTCTTAGCAAAGTCCTTTTATTATGGCTTCTTTACCACTGTTTTCAATGTCAGGGCTATTTTAAATCATCAAAAATAATTGTTAAATGTTTACTTTTGTAAAATTACCAGCTATTATCTCCTCCCTGCCAAATAAATGTAACAAAATTATTTCATCAAAAAATCTTATTCTTCATATTCAAGATTCACAAAATTCAGTCAGTTATGTTGTCCTTAAATAAAAAATCAGTCACATTTGTTCCAACTTTCCATCTCAGTGTATGGCTACAATTTAAAGGTCTCATCAGTTTGGGCACAATAGGCCCCTAACTGCTCCCCTCATGTGATTCCACCATCTTTCAGTCTGTGCTCCATTACTCCCAGAGCATCTTTCAAGAGTAAATCTAACTACAAAATACTTGTCTGTGTAAAAACAGTGAACAGCTTCCAAATGACTATACAAGCAGGTTCTGCTTGTCTTTTCCTAGTCATCACTTGCCACTCCCCACATGAATCCTGAAATCACACTATACCAAATGAAGTATAGTTCTCTTACACACAAATAAATGGCTCTCTGTTTTTGAAAATGCTATTTTTCTTTCTGTCTATATTTATTTAATGAATGCCTAATTAGTTCAGTATTCCCATTGCACCTTAAATGCACTTCCCAGAAGTATTTTTCATATATTTTTTTTTTTACAATTTTCCTTTTCTTTTGCTGCTAAAGATATCATATTTGGCCCTGGATATCAAATGCACAGTAGAATGCTGACATGGTACTCAGGAAATTTTGGTGAAGAAACAAAGGGAAATGCTGTGCACATTTAGATCATATAAAATCTTTTGATTACATTCCTTTGAAAATTGGCAAGTCCATGGAGAGAGGTGAATTCATATGTGAAACTGACTTGAATCAAAAGCAAACCTTGTGATGGCACTAGATTTTTGATACGTGAGAAATGAGTTCTTTCTATCAGATCCTCATTATCCTGCTTTAGTTAGTTAGGATTAGCCTTGCATTGTTCTCTAATATTTATTTTACCTGCAAAGTCATTCACTAGAAATTCAACTTTCTTTTCAAGATTCTTTTTAGAAAAGTCCATTGGCTTCTCCTAAGCAATACAATCATGAGCCCCCTAAAAGTAGGCAAATAATCTGTTTAAAAATAAAAACCACAAAAGTGCTTTCAATGTGCTTGTTAGCTTACCTAGCCAGATAGTTCCCTAATTTGGACTTATTTTAACTTACGAAGATTTTACATGCATTAAATTTTTAAGTGCTACAAAATAGTCTTGATCAACTGTTTTCCCTCCATAAGGTTCTACTTTAAGACCTCCATATGCTCAGCTTTAATAATCTGCTTCCAAAACCAGGAACCATTCCAAATATGAGTTATGGAAATATTGTGCTTCTTATTAAAAACAACATGAAAGGAAATATCCGAAGCCCAGGTATCAATCAGTAAAACACACAGTGGCAGATCCACGTGAAAGGTTTTGTATGAAGAATTACTGCTTAAAATCACTTTTACTGTGGCAGTTTAACTGGTTTCACAAGAAGTGAAAATTGCTGTGACAAATATGTCACTATAGAGGTCAAATGGTAATTTGCACATGCTAAACAGCTCAGCAGGAAATTACATGTGATCCTCAAAATCACTAGCATTCCCACCAGAAATCATTTTAGAAGACATGAAGGTCACATGGATTGTGTTAAGAATAAAACTCTTTCAAACACATGTTCCTCCCTCCCCCTTGGGAGGAGGAAATTGAAGGTATGGACGGAGATTTGATCAAGGTATTTGAAGTTAGGGAAAAAGGAACTAAAGAATAATGTCATCTAACACCAGTAGAAAAAAAGTCTACTTAACTTACTTGAGCCTCTTAATTCTATCACTTTATATTAGTAAAATGCAGTTATGTTTACATATGTTTTATCAAGAAAAATAAAATATGAAAAAAAGGAAAAATTCCTGAGGTAGGTAAATGCCACCTGGAAAGGATTTGCTGTGCTCTCTTAGCAGATTTGCTTCACTTGCATATACCCACTATGGAAAGTTAGATTTGAGTTAGGGGTCTTGTGCTCTCATGTGAATGGAGGTATAATGGAAGACAAATGGTCTTTAGCACGCTTCTTCTTATCATCATACATTGAAGAATGCTACATTTTGTTAATGACTACAAGTAAACAGAAGTACTTTGCATATGCAGAACAAAACACCCTGGAACTATACATATTTTCTTCCAATAGCAAAGTCTTGTGAAATACCTCTCAGGTCAAAAAGCTCCAGGAATAAATAGTACGCTTTAATAAGGAACTCTATTTGTAACAATCTAACCTGTAAATAACAAACAAACAAACAAAAAGCTTTTCCTTCTCATTTCTTCCCAGTCTTTCCTCCAGTCTCAAACAAAGTCTCATACATCTGAAAATATGGTCATCCACTGAATGATTCTTTATTGAGCATATATTTTCTCCCAAGGACCGTGCCATATTAGGGAATAGTTATAGCCAAGATACATAGTCCTTCTTCTCAAGAAGACTTTAGTTTAATGGGAAGTACAAATGAGGCTGATAAGAGAGAGGGAATTTAAGTTGTTATGAGAGCATTAAGAATAATTATCTAGCCCAAAGTGAGTGATGGGAAAACTTTCTGGAAGAAGAGACAAGAAAGCTAAGATCTGAAGAGTATAGGGGTGGAAGTAGAAGTAGAAAAATGCCCCAGTCAATAAAACACTGCAATGTTCTAAAAGTGGTATGTAGCCTGGTTTACTCAAGAAAATATTTTTAAAACATCTAAAACATGAAACTCACAGAAAAACCATCTGAGCAATTATGTTGGAATGGGTTGAGATAGAGTACCTTGAAAGCCATAGGCCTCTGCAGGTTTTCTAGAGGAGTTAGAAATAAGCTTTGCATTTTAAAACATCTTGACCGAATCACAGATGAGGAATGGCCAAGTCTAGAGGCTAAGAAGCCATTAGAAAACTGTTTCAGTGACCAGTGAAGCATGACTGAAGCATGGATGAGATCTGAGGCAGTGAGCAGCGATAGCCAATCATGTCCTGCACAGAAAATGATTTATATAGGATGGAAGCTGTCTAGAGGGATAGGGATTGAGGATGTGCATTGAGAGCCATATAGATGCTATAGAAACTATGGTACTAAATGAGTGCACTAAGTGAGAAAAGGACCAACAACTGAGACCAGAGAAAGTTCAAATTTAACTAGCATTTAGAAGAACCTATAAAAACTAAGAAAATTAATTTTAAGAAAAGCAGAAGACAAGGATTCAAAAGCCAAGAAGAGGAATGTTTTAAAGAAACTCGTGTTCCACAACTTCCAAGGTTTCTGAAAAATAAAGCACAATGCAGAAAGAACTATTCATTTTTAGGCTGATTTCCATTTTATTTTCTCAGTCTCAAGTATATCTACTTTATTGGCTTGTATTAAGTTACACATAGTAAGGGGATTCATTGTGCTATTTCTATGCATGCGTATAATGTACTTTGATTATACTTTCTTCAGGCTACATATGACAGAATACCTATCACCAACACTGTACCGAATGGGGAGAAACAGAAAGTATTTCCTCTAAAATTAGGAATGGGACAAAAGGTGTCCATTCTTTCCCTTCGTATTCAACATAGTTACTGAATTCTTAGCAAAAGGAATGAGGCAAGAGAAAGAAATGAAAGGAACATAAATAGGCAAAGAAGAAATCAAACTCTCCCTATCTGTAGATATGATCCTATACTTAAAGGACTCTAATGATTCTACTAAATGACTCTTAGATCTTATATAGACTTTCAGCAAAATAGCAGATATGAA